CATAGTAACCAGCAGAGTGCTGTTTGGTTCATCAACAGTAACTTAAATGGAAACAACCATCGAAGGAACCAAACAGCACATCCATTGGAACTGCAATCAACAACCAAGGTACGGTCTGTAGTGTGGATGATGTAATCTCACGATGTCCCTGCCAACCACAATTCTTTTGAACCAATTTCTTCAACAAGTGGGGGAGGTGTTTGAAAGGATTTCACTTGTGCAACCTTTGAGCTCAAACTCAAAATCCTCCAAAGTGCATGGCACACTGAACCAGTGCCAGTAGTAAGTACGTATACGTCTGCAAAGGTACGGAATACATACAAACACAGCGTAGAGGTACGGGCCCATTGGAGGCCCGTGAAATGGCCAAACCAGGGCCCATGCATAAGTTCGAAGAGCTTTCGCCGGGGAGCATGGCTCTCGCTCTAGCGGTTGCACGCCTGACGCCTGCTGCATGCATGTCCCGGTTGCCGACCGGCCGGCCAGCTCTGCTCGTGGCCGGCCGGCGGCCGTACGAGGCAGCCAGGCAGGCGCTTCATTCATTTTTTATCAAGGAACGAGGGACAAAAAATGCAGAGGCTCCATCTGAAGCTCTCAACTGCTGGTCTGCTGCGGTGACACTTGACAGTGACAGAACTTTGGCATTTTTGACTTGCTGAGTGCTGAGACAAAAAGATGGTGGTGAGCCACTGAGCCAGCAGGTCGTTTTCAGTTCTTATTTAGTCAGGGGAAAAAACCATCGCACATGAGCCATGAGCGCTCATTTTTTTCTTTGAAACTTCAGCCTCAATCCACAACAAGAAGAAGGAAAAAAAAAACAGTGTGCATTCAGATTTCTGTAAACATACTTTTAGACTACTTATTTGTTAAAAGAAATAACGGATTTATTACTCGACTTCCAAACACCTCAAGCCATGTTTCCGCGCACACCTTAATATATAGCACAATTAAGCAACAGATCAGATTGGCAGAAGTTTCTCCTGCAATAAGATCTACTCACAAGCAACTCACACCATAAGCCAACAGATATTACTGTGTTCCACAATTTGAACCACACCATTTGATAACTAAAAATTTTACCTGAGAAGTCAAGTTTTGAGTTGAGAACCTCAACTGGAATCGAGATGAAATATGTAGATATGCAATATGATCTCTCTAGTTAAGTTGAGAAGGTGTGCATGCCAAATCAGAACCAGACAGGAGAAATCTGCACACTTATATAAAAAAACATTTACGAACTTGAGGCTTGGTTAGGTATTGAAAGTACAAAGTATGTGCCTCTGTTAAGTCCAAAAAAGTTCCCAAAAGAAAAACCCAGAAGGGAGTACGCTATTTTTAGTCTTATTTTTGAAGCTTGCATTGTATTTTAATTTGAAAAGGTTCCAATAAAGCAAACATGCAAGTGGACACAGTTCATTCATAGGGCTTAAAAGGAGATATTTTTTAGAAGCAATCGTATCCTTAGCAAGAAAACATTATATATCAAAAGTAAGGTTAAATGGAGCAAAAGATTGCATCATTCAGAAACGAGTAAAAAATGTATGCTCGCAGTTTAATAATGCATCTGAAGGAAGCCTATGATATGCACTTCAAATCAACATGAATGAGGAGCTTAATGAAATTCTCCAGCCGATACCCTGAAACACGCTTCATAAACTCGATGACTTTGCGGCTGTAGCTCTCTTTATATAAGATTTCAATCTTGAGGTTTTCACGCAGGAAATCGGTCGTCTTCAGTTTGAGCACTGGCTTAACCTCTGTATCATCTAACAACTGTGGACAACACAAAAAGATGTAAGATGATGAACTATGCTGGTTACGTAATAAGAAACTAAAAACCAAACTAAAGTAAACCTTGCAGTGCCGCAAAGTGAGCCTCTCCAGATTAGGCGAACGCCGAAGAAAAAAATCTAAGATGCAGTCGTCGCTAAGATCACAGTGAGTCAGCAGTAAGTTCTTCAGGTTCTGGAATTCTTTGGATGTGGGTTCCTTTCCAAGCACCTGGAGTACATTAGATATATAAAGCACTGCAACATTATTGGAGTGAATAAAATAAAATGGAACATTGGCAGAGGCAGTGAAGGCATACCATCCCCCCGACATTGCACAACTCTTTTTTTTCTCGAATATGCACAAGTGATGCGTATCATTGTATTAGGTAGAAAGAGTTTGAGCAATACAAGTGCCGTTCCATGGCAGCGTTAGTGTTTTGCAAGCGCTACATTCTGAAACCAACAACATTCAAGGGTGACCATCCTAGCTACAGGCGAGCCAACGCTTCAAGCCCCTGTGCGCCGGGCCCTCGCGTTGAGACCGCGCACGTTCCATGACAAGATAGTTGTGTTATCCATTGGTGTTTACGACTGTGCGTTTGGAGGCCGCACTAGGCCCTGGCAGCCAAGGGCTGCCTCGTTGTTCTCGCAGCCCGTGTCCTGGCGACTCTAAACTTGTCACATTAGATACACTATGAAGAAACTTGAACCGATCGCCGCTAAGTTCAGTACTGTTGGGTACATAATATCTGTGACGGAACAACTGAATCATAGCCTTGTCCAGGGATGGCATCTCTTTTATTGAAATACCAGCAGCAAACCCACCAAGTTTGACAGCCAGGTGCAGGTAAGCAACAGCGGGGGCAAAGGTAACCGGCGGATCATTCAAGCCGCCGTAAATAACCAAGGTGTTCAACGTGGGGGGATGCTGCAATCTCAGAAAGTTTGCCCAATCTGCAATGTTTCAGAAACAGGGTTTTCAGCGAGTCGAAGAAGATGGAACGAATCTCAAAAGTGCAACCGTCCAGCTCCAAATCTTCTAAACGGTGGCACCCTAAACCAACATGCGTCGCGAAACTGTGATCTAGAGGTACACAGGTGAGCTGCAGCCTTCTGAGGCGCCGCCAAGATGCGGCCGAGCTCATCAACCTCTCCATCTGGCTGGAGGATCTGGCGGCGTACCGCAGAAACAACAGAGGTGTCCTGTCGCCATGGCCATGCAGCCTCAACGAATCCAACAGCGCAATGTTGCAGCGTTGCACCAGGTTGACGGCGAAATCCACCAATTTTCCCCACTCCTTCCAGTTCATGGCCTTGTCGCAGGAACAACCAGGCGCCGCCGTCGTGGTTTTGAACTCGTCCACGTCCCAGTTCATGGCCTTGTCGTAGGAACAACCAGGCGCCGCCGCCGTCTTGATTTTGAACTCGTGCACGTCGACGTTGAGGCAGGGCACGGAGAGCCAGAGGTGCCTCCAGCGCTTGGACAGCACGCACGTCTGCACCACCTGCCGGGCCTTCATGAAGGAGATGATGGTGTGGAGGAGGCAGTCCGGTAGATCGCTCAGCAGGTCCGGCGGCGTTCGCGAGGGCTTAGTGGCTTACCGAGCGCCGCAGCATGAGTCTGCCGGGGGATATGCCGTCGTGAGAAGGGCCGCCGCCGGAGTGCCAGAGCCCGGAAGAAGAAGCTGCGGAAAGGCGGAAAGCCTTGTCTCCGTCGACGGCGGAAGCCGAGGGATGGGGCCATCGCAATGGGGGGAAGAGGAGTGCGCAGAGAAAAAAATTGTTTATTATCACTATATATATATATATATAAAAATAATACGTACGAATGACGGGATCTATGGGCCTCAATTCATGTTTGGAATGCCTTTTCATGGGGGCCGGAGACACTCGGGCCTTGGGGGTGGCCTGCCTGGGGCCTCGCAGCCCTGTAGAGGGAGTTCTCATTACCAGTAGTTTTTTTCTTTTTCATTTTTATATTTTTCGATGTTTGAAAAATATATAAGCGTCAGGGCCAAAAATTGCAAACATATAACCTCTCAAACCGTTTCATTTGGCGATTTATAAAAATGTCCTTTCCACATGGCGCTATACACAGACGGCCAATTCCATGGATGCTAAGGCAAGGCTTGACTCGTTCTAAAATAACCGGCTTTTCAGCTCCTCTGGAAATGGGCTTCTCTGCTGGAGTTAAAGCCTTAGAAAAGCGATTGTCATAGCAAATTTTTTCTATTTTTTTAGAGAGGTAGATAAAGAAGATCAAATATCCCTTGTGCCCTTGTGTATCGGAATTGGTAATACACATGAGAACTTACTACAATGCATGTTGCTAGCCGCACCTAGTTACGCTACACGGAAGTACATTGCACTAGGTTTCTCAATGGCATAAAATTCTAGAGAAAATATCACCCGGTTCGCTTGAGCTTATCAGCCAGAATCAACACTACTTTTTAACCATGGAACAGTGTTTTTCTCTCCCAACAAATCAGCATCAGCATCAGCATCAGCCGCAGAAACCATCTGCCGAACAGGCTGTATATCAGCTGTACTTAGGAAAAAAGTTAGATAAATAAATCTCCTAATATATGATGAAAGAAAAAAAAACATTAATGAATTGGAGCAGGTGTTTAGTCTTTGAAATTATGCACCTTCGTTAAGTCCCAAAAAAATCCAAGAAAGAAATAGAAGGGGTATGAAATTTCCAAGCCCATTTTGAAGCTTTCATTGTTTTTCTTTTTAATTAAAACATAGAAACACTTCCAACAAGAAAACATGCAAATGCAAGTGGACACAGTTCATAGGGCTTTAAAAGAGAGATTTTCCAGAAGCAATCTTATCCTTAAGCAAGAAAGCAGAGTAAATTTCAATGGCAAGATTAACTAAGCAAAGGCTTACATCATTTAGAAATGAATCAAAAGTATATGCACGCCACTTATAAATGCATTTCAAATCGACATGAACGACGAACGATGGATGAGACAAAAAAAAAAGTCTGGACTAACAACAATGCTAATTAAATTTGGTGAGTCTAATGTAATCCTTGAGTGTTTGGTACCAGAATTTGAGTGAGATTAAGAGTACTGGGAGGTAGAAAAGGAACAGAGATGAGTTCAGCAAGGAATAGCGGCAGATTAGTTCATAATTTCTTGTCCTCTCCCTCAGACGCTAATCTGTATATCTCTTGCTACACAACATAAACCTCTTGCTACACAACATAAACACACAACTTTACATGGGCCATTCCCATTCTGGTCCCGAGACGCGCACGCTGGTCATCCTGCGCCGAGTTCCCCGACGAGGCCCAACTCCAGTTGAATGAGGCACAGGATGTTCAGCAGGAGCAGCAGCAGCGTCAGGAACAGCATCAGTTGTACCTTTGAGATTTGGTAGGTGGCGCACAAGCTCGCAAGCAGATCGACAGGCATCACCATCTTTATGTATGATTTCAAGCTCGACGTTCGCATCACGTAGGAAGTCCAGGCCACAGCAGCAACCAGAAGATGAGGTCTTGTCCAGTTTGAGCGTTCCTTCCTTGTCCTCAGAATCACCTGGGAACTGTGGGCAATGAACACAAAAGATGTGAGATCGATAATGCATGAACTATGTTGCATTGGTTGGTTACATAAGGAGCTAGAAAACCAAGCTACAGTGTACCTTGCAGTGCCGCAAAGTGACCTTCTCTAGATTAGGTGAACCCCGATGAAAGAATCGCAATATGCGGAAGTCATCACTGAGATCACAGTCGTCCAGCAGCAAGTTCCTCAGGTTCTGGAATTCCAGGAATGTGTGTTCCTTACCGAGCACCTGGAGTACATTGGAAGTAGATAGCAGCACCAACACATTATCAGAGCGGACGAATAAAATGGAACACTTGCAGAGAAAACAAAGATGCCAAAGAGCATACCGTTGTCCCGACACCTAACAAATCGAAACTTGTCACATTAGACACACCACAAAGAAGCTTGGATTGATCTCCATGAAGTTTACTTCCACACATACTTTTGGACAAAAACTGTATTTGTGGCGTAGATGAATCGAAGCCCTGTCAAGGGATGGCATCTCATTTATCGAAATACCTCCACGGAAGCAGACACCATCCACATCTAGGCGTAGATAGGCAACCATGGGGGCTGAGATAGCCAGCAGGTCGCCATACCAATTGGAGCCGCCATCGATAATCAAGGTCTTCAATGTTGGGGATGCAATGTCGGAGAGGAATCCACCCCATGAGCAACTTTTCAAAACTAAGTTCTGGAGCGAGTCAGAGGCGATCGAACGGATCTCACAGGTGCAATGGTCCAGCTCCAAATCCTCCAAAGAGCAGCACACTGAGCTAAGATGCTCCGCGAAACGATTGTCCAGAGGCACGTGGCAGAGATGCAGCCTTCTGAGGCGCCAAGAACTGGGGCTCAGATTCAATCCCTGATGCTGACAACTGATGGCATGACCTGGTCCTGGTGTGCAGTATTTCATCGCACGTCGGAGCCATGCTGCTGCTTGTCGGCCGCTGTATTCCCAGCCTTGTATTGCACTGTCAGAGCAAACATAGGTCTGAGGTCTGCAGCCCCTATCAATGTCCAGCCTGAATGAATCCAGCAGTGCGATGTTGCAACGGAGCATGAGGTTGATGGTGAAATCCTCAAATTCGTCCCACCCTTTGCCCTTGTCCTGGTTGCTGCCCAAGTCGGAGTCGGAGTCATCAGAGTCAGAGCTGCTGTCGCTGCCGCCACTGCTGGAGGCAGGCGCCGCCGCCTTGGTCCTGAACTCAACAATGTCGATGTCGAGGCACGGCACAGAGCGCCAGAGGTGCTTCCAGCGTGTTGACAGTACGCACGTCTGCACCACCTGTCGAGCCTTGAGGGAGGACATGATGACGTGGAGGAGGCAGTCTGGTAGAGCGCTCAGCCGGTCCGGGCCACCGGTGGAGCTTTCGCCACCGCCATCGCTTGCACGGGTCCGTTTCCTTGTGCCCTCTGCAATCTCCATGGAGTACGTGTCCTGCAAAGCTCCATGTATATGTATTTTTATATAAGATGACCAAACGACCAAACGACCAAACAACCCAAATATAAATCTCCAGTTCCATGTATTACCAAAGGACACCTCTGAATCCGGCTCTAACTCACGCAGAAATTGTCTGAACAATAAGAAATTGCGAAAAAAGACTCAAAAATAAGTTTTTTTTAAGAAAAAGGTTTGGTTGGGGTACAGTGCAGCAGAATCCCCATTTGCAATTTACTCAAGAACAGACGAAATTCGATCCGATTAAGGGACGGGGTGTGCAGCTAAATCGGGAGATACGGCCATGCCCCCATGCACTTCCGTACAGTATTAGAGATGAACAATCGTATACGAAGATTGCTATTCCTTCACAGCAATCGATTACGGGTGGGTCGTACGGAAAGCGACGGTGAAGGGGCTTACCGAGCGCCAGCGCCATAGCCTCCAGCCTGCCGCGGGAGGAGAGGCCCCGATACAACCGGAAGCGCCGGAGAGAGCGGGAGACGTGAGCTGCCGAAACCCTCGTCTCCGTCGGCGTCGACGGCGAGTCGGCGACGGCAAGTGGGGAAAAGAGGAGGAATGGGGTCGGCGAACTGGGCACACAGCGTGGTACGGTACATGTGCAACGCGAGCACGAGAATCGTCTGGGATACATGGGCCCCCGCTGGGAGCTGGAGGCCCATTTCCGCACAGCCAGGGTTTCTCGGAGGCCCCTGAATTGGACAGGGCCGTGACGATCTTTTATTATTTTAATAACCTAAAAAAACTAATACTTTAATAATAATAACACAAGACGAATTATTTTTTGGGCACTGCTAGAGCTTGCGCGTGCAGGATTTGGAAGTTCGGCACGCACACCTCTCGCACGTCAATTTTTAGTGGCAAAAAAAACACACCCACAACAGCTTTTCTTCCCCGACTCCAGCGCACTCGCCCCCGCCGCCGCCAACGCCCCGCCACGGTGAACGGCGAAACCCTAGCTCGCCCGCGGTGCCACCTTCATCCCCTTCCTCTCCCCCCGTCACCGCTGCCACCATGGTCGGAGCTCCCCCGCCCTGACCTAGCACGGTCGCCGCTGCCGCCACCAGCTCCCCCTAAACCGCCTGCCGGCCATCCCCACCGCCTGCCCAGCCTTCCTCCCCCGGTCGGCGCCTTCTATACCCGCCAAAGTTGGGGAAGATAAGGGGAGAGCTCGCCGGAACCCTAGAAAGCAGATCCGGGAGGAGGAGGAGAGAGGTGAGAGAGGAGGAGGCCTACCTGGTGCAGATCCGTCGCCACCGCCGCCGGATTTGATGAATCTGTCGCCGCATCTGCCAGATCCGTCGCCTCATCTGCCATGGCCGTGCACGGGGAGGCGGTGGGGCACGGCCGCGGGGAGGTGCTCGCTAGTGAGGTGCTCGCCGGTGAGGTGCTCACCGGAGAGAGAGAGAGAGAGAGAGAGAGAGAGAGAGAGGGTGTGCGGGTGCCGGGCGGGTAGGGTGTGCGGGCGCGGGGCGGGGCGTGGGGGCTGAAGCCTCATATCTTGCGCGTTTGCTTTTTAGCATTTCTGATATTTTTCTGGATTATTATTTTTGTCATGTCAGAAAAGACATTACATCTGCCTTCAAAAAAAAGACATTACATGACAAATGAATACAGAGAGCCTGCTCGGCTGCGCACCCGGGATCTATTGGCCTCAAATCAATTCATGTTTGGAATGCCCTGTTGATGGAGTTCTCGTTACCAGTTTTTCTTTTCCATTTTTACATTTTCGATGTTTGAAAAATATAGAAGCGTCTAGAAAAAAAGCAAACATATACTGTACTACTCAAGCCGTTTCAGTTGGCATTTATAAAAATGTCGTTTCCATGTGACTCTATATAAATACTGCCAATTCCATACATGGTAAGGCAGGTCTCGACTCTTTCTGGAATAACCCTGACTTTAGGGTGCGATCAATTGGATGAATATCTTTGGATGGGAGAACCATTCATGGATAGATGGCATTTGGTTTGGTGGACTGGTTGGACGTGGATATCCATTCCAGGAATATTCCTTAGTGGCAAAAAAAAAAAAAACTGGCGAATGAGCTTATCCATGTTTCTAATCTTTTTCATTAGCAAAAGAATTAAAGATTATTAGTATGTTATGTTATTAATTATTAATTAAGATGATCATTTTAGTTTTGATAAGTGCTAATACGTTGATTAGCACACATCACAACTACAAAAATAATTTTCGCGAGACACTGTCCAAACATTAACACAGGCGGTCACAAATAATCACCTCCTAAAATTGATTTATGGAGACGGGCCTCTTAAGGGACCTGCCTAAAAAATATGGCCTGAGGCCCAAAGAAGCCCAAAAGGCCCGTTATCGGTGTTTCATATTGTAGGATCTCTGATTGGCCTAGAGCGGGGGTGAATAGGCCTGTCAAAACAAGCATTCAAACTTTTATCAAATTCACCCTGCGGCACTGCCGCTCTGGAGGACGGCATTGCTGGACTGCGGCACTGTCGGATCAGAACAGCGACACTGTCGCATCTGCAGACAACTTCGAATCACAGTTCAAAATCAGTGAACGGAAACTTAGATCGGAGAAATTTCTCAGCCTACTGAAGGTATGATAGTCACAGGTCAAGAGCTAGAAGTGCAAGGAACACTACACACTAGTAGATCGACTAGAAACCCTAGAAATCAACTCAACCAATAATATAAAATGCAAATAATGTAAATCAAGCACAAGTGACACAATGATTTATCACGTGGTTCAGCTCGCCACCAAGGCTTGCCTACCTCCACGTTGTTGAGGTTAGCCACTAAGGCTTAGGGCTTTCCAACCATTCCTCGTTCTCAAGTCAAGAGACTTAACTCTTGAGATGGGGGGTGAATTTACTAGCTTCAAGAGATGGTTATAAACCTCCTGGGGCTGCCACACAAGTTGGCAAGCTCCACGGGCGACGCCCTAGCCAGCTAGGAGCCAAGCTCCAAGAGTAACAAACATAACCGCCGGTCAAAACGTGAACCAAGTGCTCTTTTGAGTTGAGGAATCAATGGAGTTGCTCTCTAATTGAGTTTTGACCCTTTTCTCTAAAGGATTGATGGAGAAATCAATGGATTTGTTTGAGGACTCAAGGTCACTAATGGAGGAAGAGAGAGAGGGCTCCTTTCTGTTTTGGGCGTGTTGGAATGAGCAAGAGGAAGAAGATAGCTGTTGGGAAGGAAGAGGATGGGTATAAATACCCCCTCAGCCCCAACGGTCAGTGCCGCGGCTTAAGTGCGGTAGTGCCACTCTTCAGGTGTGGCAGTGCCGCATCAAGCAAGACAGCAAGAGTAAGAGTGAAGTGTAGCCTATCTTGGCTGTGAATCTGAGGATGCATGTGTAGGTTTGAGCACTTGGTAGCACATGTTAGCTTAAGCATTGTGTCTCCCTTTATAGTACGCCTTTTTCTATACCCAAATTCAAAATATAAAAGAATTTAAACCTCATTTGAGTTTGAAAGCCATCAACATTTGTAATTGGGGGCTCCTCCGTTTCGTGTAACATCATCGAATATAGATTCACTGCCTGTCATCTCGATAAATCTCATTAGTTCTCTAATTGCGTGGTCATTATCACCAAAACCCACAATTATGGCTTGATTGCACTTTCACATATATATAGTTGAGTTAGGGTTTGGGGGCTTCTCATCCTCTCTCTCGTCTCTCACAGATCACCCGACACCCTCTCTCTCTCTCATAGCTCACCCGGCGGTGGCGCCTCTCTTCTTCTCTCCCTCTACTCTCTCGGCGTGGCGTCGACGGCGGTAGGGGCTGCTTGCGCCCGTGGCTCGACGGTGGAGGCCGCTTGTGCCCTGCGGCTTCGACGGTGGAGGACGCACCCTGGCTGTGGTGGGCCCACACGCCCTGCCGGCGGTGGGGCTTCGATCCGCGCTCCCCGTCGTCGGGGCTTCGTTCCACGGTGGGTGGGCATTGGATCCAGCGGCAGGTTCTCAGATCTAGTGGCAGGTGCCCAAATCCAGCGATGGCTTTTCTTTTTTCTTGTTTTTTCTGATTGATTAATGCAGACGGGCTTTGTGTCCGCCTTCGTAAGTCTACGTTAACGCAGACCTTTCGATGGAGGCGGACGCATTACCCGCCTTCAAAAACCGGTTTTGCCTTCCTCGAAAAAGATTCCTACACAAGTGCATTTTGTGAGCCAATTTGGGTAGTAGTAGTGCTATTTTTATTTTTAATTAGTGGTTATCATGACAAATTAGTGTTAGTGCATATTTATTAGTGTATAATTCATTTTTATTATTTTTAAAGAATGGATATAATTACTCAACTAAACAAGCAGTATATATATCCATATCCCCAAATCCATAATGGCCATATCCCATCCACCCTGGTCCTCAAACCAAACACACCCTTAGTTTCTCTGGAAATACGGTTTCTTTGGTGGAGTTCAAATCTTAGGGAAACATTTTTCGAAATAATTTCTTCTATTTTTTTTAGAAATAAGATGAAAGAGGTCAAGTATCCATTGTGCTCTTGTGTGTTTGAATCGGTAATACACATGCGAACTTACTAAAATGCTTGTTGCTATAGCCGCACCTAGTTACGCTACACGGAAGTATATTACACTAGGTTTCTCAATGACATAAAATTAAGAAAAAAATCAGCCGCACTTATAAAAAGATTCATATAAATAAATGTTCTAATATATGATCCTCACCACAAAAATCATGGGCACTACCTTTGATCCAACTACAACTCTCATATAGGATGGATGTTTATGCACAGACACGTAGTATGAGTTAGAGATGGGTGCCCACCCACGATAGCAAGATTATATGGTGAGAACCATCCCCATCATCCCCCCCCCCGATCGGAGCATGCACATTCTAGCGTGCCCTACGACACGCTCAACCGTCATCGATACGAAGGAAGAACAATAAATCAGGGTTTGGAGAGAGAAATAAGGTAAAGAGATAGTTGATTGATATTTGGTTGGATCTGATACTCTCCATCGGCCGTGACTCTTTATATTTATATATAGGATGGAGAGATCTTGTCTAAGGCCAGTCTCAGTGGGGAGTTTCATGACGTTGTTGCTAAGACTGTCATGTCATACCAAATGAAATGAAACTCGAATGAAACACTCACCCTCAATAGAGAGTTTCATTATATGGTTTTATAGGCATTTAATTTCATGACTCATAGAGAGTTGATAATCGTGCCAGATGAAACTCATTTCTTCTCTCTCTTCTTAAATACACTGCTATGTCATCAAAAATACATATGTGGCAACCTATTTAATGCAAATGAAACTCGTACTGAGAATGGCCAAATATACAATCAGATCCTAAGCAAACACAATATACTGGATACGTTGATGAAAGAAAAAAAACATTAATGAACTGGCGCTAGTGTTTAGTCTTTGAAATTACGTACCTTTGTTAAGTCCCAAAAACGATCCAAGGAAAAAACCGAAGGGAGCACGCAATTTCCATGCCCATTTTGAAGCTTTCAGTGTTTTTTTTTTAATAAAAAAGTTAGAAACACTTCCAACAAGAAAAAAAAAATGAAAGAAAACATGCAAATGCAAGTGGAACAGTTCATATAGGGGCTTTAAAAGAGATATTTTCCAGAAGCAATCTTATCCTTAAGCAAGAAAGCAGACTAAATTTTAACGGCAAGATTAACAAAGCAAAGGCTTACATCATTTAGAAATGAGTCAAAAGTATAAGCTCGTTATTACTTATAAAATGCATTTAAAATCGACATGAACGACGAACTATGAATGAGACACCAAAAAGTCTGGACTAACAATAACGCTTATTAAATTTGGTGAGTCTAATGTAATCCGTGTGTGTTTGGTACCAGAACTTGAGTGAGATTAAGAGTACTGGGAGGTAGAAAAAGAACAGAGATGGGTTCAGCCAGAAAAGGAATACTGACTGACAGTTAGAATTCGGTCTGATTAGTTCATACATTTCTTGTCATCTCCCCGGTTCTCTCCCTCAGACACTTGTCTACATATCAATTGCTTTGCTACACAACATATATAAACACGCCACTTTACACAGGCCGTTCCCATTCCGGTCCCGAGATGCGCACACTAGTCATCCTGTGCCGAGTTCCCCGACGAGGCCCTACCCCAGTTGAATGAGGCACCGGATCTTCAGCAGCAGCGGCGTCGGGAACAGGATCAGTGGTACCTTTGAGATTTTCTAGATCGTCAGCAGATCGGCAGGCCTCGTCATCTTTATGTATGATTTCAAGCTTGACGTTCTCATCACGTAGGAAGTCCAGGCCCCAGCAGCAACTAGAAGATGAGGTCTTCTCCAGTTTGGGTGTTCCTTCCTTGTCGTCAGAATCACCTGGGAACTGTATGTAGGCAAGGAACACGAAAGATGTGAGATCAATGATGAACTATGTTGCATTTGTTGGTTACATAAGGAGCTAGTGGAAACCAAGCTACAGTGTACCTTGCAGTGCCGCAAAGTGATCTTCTCTAGATTAGGCGAACCCCGATGAAAGAATCGCAATATGCGGAAGTCATCACTGAGATCAGAGTCGCCCAGCAGCAAGTTCCTCAGTTTCTGGAATTCTTGGAATGCGGGTTCCTCACCGAGCACCTGGAGCACATTGGAAGTAGATAGCACCACCAACACATTATCAGAGTGCCGAATACATAAAATGGAACAATTGCAGAGGAAAGCAAAGAGCATGCATACCGTCGTCCCAACACCTGATAACTCCAAACTTGTCACGTTAGACAGACTACAAACAAGCTTGGATTGATCCCCGCCAAGTTTACTTCCAGATATGCTTTTGGATAAACTGTATATGTGTCGGCGTAAATGAATCGAAGCCCTGTCAAGGAATGGCATCGTCTTGTTTACCAAAATACCTCTATGGAAGCAGCCAGCATCCACATCTAGGCGTAGATAGGCAACCATGGGGGCCGAGATAGCCAGCGGGTTGCAGTATCCTCCATTGTAGCCACCATCGATTACCAAGGTCTTCAACGTGGGGGATACAATGTCAAAGAGGAACCCAACCCATGTGCACTGTTTCAGAACCAGATTCTTGAGGGAGTCAGAGGCGATCGAACGGATCTCACAGGTGCAACGGTCCAGCTCCAAATCCTCCAAAGAGCGGCACATTGAAGTAAGATGCTCCACGAAGCGGTCGTCCAGAGGTATGTGGCAGAGATGCAGTTTTCTGAGGCGCCAAGGGCTGGGCTTCAGATCCAATCCCTGACGCTGTCTGATGGCATGACATGGGCACGTGTAGTTCCACAGGATTCTAGAATTTGACACTATGCAAAAAGAAGATTCTTCGTCACATCAAATTTGCGATACATGCATAGAGTACTAAATGTTGACGAAATCAAAAACTAATTGCACAGTTTGGTTGTACTTTGCGAGACGAACATTTTGAGCCTAATTAGTCAACAATTGGACAATTATTACCAAATAAAAACAAAACGGCACTGTAGTGTTCCTGCCGACGCCGACGCCAATTCGGCGGAACTAAACGAGGCCATGGTCTTAGTGTGCAGTATTTCATCGCACGTCGGATCCATGCTGCTGCTTGTCGGCCACTGTATTCCCAGCCTTGTCTTGCACCGCCAGAGCAACCATAGGACTGAGGTCTCCTGCCCCTATCAATGTCCAGCCGGAATGAATCCAACAGTGCGATATTACAGCGGAGCATGAGGTTGACGGCAAAATCCTCGAATTTGTCCCACCCTTCGCCCTTGTCCTGGTTGTTGTCCGAGTCGGAGTTGGTGCTGTCATCATCATCAGAGTCGGAGCTGGTGTTGCTGCCGCCGCTGCTGCAGGCAGGCGCCGCCGCCTTGGTCCTGAACTCAACGATGTCGACGTCGAGACAGGGCACGGAGCGCCACAGGTGCCTCCAGCGTGTGGAAAGCACACACGTCTGCACCGCCTGTCGGGCCTTGAGGGAGGACATGATGATGTGGAGGAGGCAGTCCGGCAGAGCGCTCAGCCGGTCTGGGCCATCGGCCGAGCTTCCGCCACCGCTTGAACGGGTTCGTTTCCTTGTGCCCTCTGAAAGCTCCATGGAGTACGTGCCCTGCAAGCTCCATGTATATGTGCATATCTATAAGATGACCGAACGACCAAAAAAAATATAAATCTCCAGTTCCATATATTACCGAAGGACACCTCTGAATCCTGTTCGATTACAACTTAGAACACCGCCTCAGACTCTGGTTCGATTACACCTCAGAATCCGGCTCTAAGCCTCTAACTCATGCAGATATTGTCAGAACAATAAGAAATGCGAACAAAACTTGAAGATAACTTTTTTAAAACAAAAAGTTTGGTTGGGGTACAGTACAGCGGAATCCCCATTTCTTTCCAATTTACACAATTTACACAAGAACGCACGAATTCCAATCCGATTAAGAGACGGGATGTGCAGCCAAATCGGGAGGCAACGCAATATCTGGAGATACGGCCATGCCCCGGCCCCATTCACTTCCGTATTAGAGATCAACAATCATATACGAAGATTCCTATTCCTCACAGAAATCGATTACGGGCGTGGGTCGTACGGGAAGCGACGGTGTAGAGATGGGTGGTCCGGGGAAGGGACTTACCGAGCGCCCGCGCTATGGCCTCCAGCCTGCCGCGGGAGGAGAGGTTCCAATCCAACCGGAAGCACTGGAGAGAGCGGGAGACGAGCTGCCGACACCCTCGTCTCCGTCGACGGCGACGGCGACGGCTAGTGGACAAAAGAGGAGGAATGGGAATCGAGCAGGAGAATCGTCTGGGTTGCATGGGCCCACTGGAGGCCCATTTCCACAGCCAAGCACCCTGTTCGGCTGGAGGAAAACGATCTGTATACGATTGTAAATTTCCAGCTAGAACAGTATTTTTCTTTCACACAAATCAGCCAGCAATACTTTTTCACGAATCAGCAATAATATGAACCAGCCAACCGAACAGGCCGAAGATTTCTCCGAGGCCCCTGAATCCCTAATTAACAAGGCGCTTTGTTTCTAAACGTTGCTAAAAAAACTACCGTCTAAATTCAATTTACCTGAATGTAAACTAGAGTTTATAAAAAAATGTAGAAATAGTTTTTCACTTCTTCTATATTTAAGGAGCCTGAATTTTAAGATGATTTCAGCCAACACTCTTGTACTCAGTGTTTTTAAGGCATCGCTTAGGCGCTTAAGCGTCGGGGAGCTCCTGGCTCGCCTCAGGGGTAAGGCGGCGCCTTATCGCCTTATGCACATGCTGATGCCTCCTCGATTCCGCTATCACCTCGTCGATTTTGATGCTAGCCCGCTCGATTCCGCTGTCTTCTCGTTGATTATGTTGCTGGCCTGCTCGATTCTGCCATCTCCTGCTCGATCTGGAAGGGGACAGCGGCGACTTTAGAGTTGACGCTGAGCAACGAGGGAGGGGAAGCAGAGGAGCGAAGGGAAGTAGAGCAGCGCATGAGGGGGCGAGCGAAGCAGAGCAGTGCATCTGGAGAGGGCTGAGCGAAGCAGAGGGGAGAACGAGAGAGAGGAGAGCGACGACGTTTGCGCGAATCGGGAGATTTGGGAGCGCGAGAGAGAGGAGCCACCACCACACCAGGACAGGACCCAAGAGGTGGAGGGGCATGGGCTGCCTGGTGGGCTGGGCTAGTCCATTTGTTATTCTTTTCTTTTCATTTTTCCTTTTCTTTTTTCTTCATCAACTACTGCTCTAAGCTGATACTTTACGTTTTGCTTAAATTCTTAAGGCGTCACAGCGCCACACGCTTTAGTCGCCTAAATGTAAGGCGGTAGTCCGTCGCCACGCCTCGCTTTACCACCTTAAAAACACTGCTTGTACTACCAATTAATACGGGCAAATTGTCACTTTTGCGATTTGTTATTTGTCTTTGTGTCATAACACATCAAATTTTTGTCCTTGTCTGACAATAGAAATAGAAATAATTATAAATTATTAAATTGTCTTTGTGCTAACACATATCAGATTCTGTCAGGTTTGTGGTTTTGTCCAACGGGGTTTTTATTCTTGAAAGCAAAAATTGCAGGTTGCCTCTACAGAAATTGCAACGAACTAAAACTGTAATTTTAATATAAAATATATACAATAACCGTCGCCTGAAATAAAACTAAAACTCAAGCACCTAAAATTTAGCAAATCCCATACTTTTTTTATAAAAATATCCAAATATTTTTCATAAAAATATCCAAATATTTTTCTAAAATAAATATGCACTTAAAAATACTAAAACCTGATTTAATATTTAAAAATATAAAAAATTTGTTTAACTCAGAAAAATACGAAACATGTTTCATATCCTGTCCTAAAAATCAAGCTTCTAAAACACTTATAAACATATGTTTTTTTAAAAAAATATCTAAATACTTTCTAGAATAAGTATGTATTTAGAAATGCTAAAATTTGATAATATTAGAAAATAATAGAAAATTTGTTTCAACATAGAAAAATATGAAACCAGCTTTATATATTTGTTTACTAAAATCATGACCTATATTTTTCTTGAGCTAGCGCCGTAATCTAGAGTAGATATTAGGAAACACATAAAGTCCAACATCCCGAGCCTGTCCAAATTGTCTTCTTGTTCAATCATGTGCTATGGGAGCATGTGCAAACCTACAACGGCAACAACGAAAATGGAGGTGGTCATGTCCATTCAGATGTCGGCCAAGTCGCAATGGTCGGTTTAGGAAAATTTTTATTATTATTTTTAGAAAAGGGTTGGATTTTATTAATAGGGTAACAGTACATTTGCATCCAGCCCCCGAAAGAGCACCCCTGAACACAAGAAAGATTACAGATAATTCCTCTAAAGAAGTACCCAGTGGGCTTCGCCGTTGCCGACCAACATTGCCGTAGCCCGGTCCTTCTCCATCTCCCACAATGAAGATGACCCAGGATGAAGCTCACGACCGATACCCGAATCGACGAAGAGTCTTGAAATTTTAAAAGACCCATCAGTAACACGCATAAAACATGCTTTTGATCCATTGAACCCTCCGGCAAATGGCAACATGCCGTCTCTTCTTTGTCGCCGGGATGTGACACCGGTCGCCTCACCGGCCAACCCCAGACAACGAACAACAAACCCACAAGAGGGGTCAAAGTACACCAACTCGGATAAATGAGAAGGTGGATCAAAACACCGGCAAACGACTTGCCATCGCCACCGGTACAACCACTGAGGCTCCTCCAAGCAGCAGCAACCAAGTCATGGGCGACGAAGTTGGCGGCGACGCAAACCGCGTGGATGCTGACAGCACAAATAGATTCACAGAAGATTCAAAAACCGACGTATAGAAAGACAACAAAAAAAAATCATCACTGGTTTCTAAATCCCTGCGTATGACACCATCAGCAAGCTCTACACGCACAGCACACACCTCCAGGACCAGTACACCACCGACAAAGCCGATGCCTGACAAGCTCGGAAGGAAGCAAAAACCAGCGATTTCCTCACCGGATGAAATCCAACCCTAAACCAACAAAAACTAACCTAATAGGAAGGGAAATAGCCACCAGCCGCCGGATCCGCACCTCCCCTGCGCATCGGCGCCGAGAAAGACACCGACGGCGAGGGGAAATCGGCGAATCCGGCGCCGGGACGGAGTAGCCTTCGAGTCACCCGCGATCTACTGTAGCGTGGGGAAAGAAAACTCGAGAGAGTGGGAGACGAAGCTAAGAAGTCTCATGCCGACTACATCTAATGGTCCAATTAATCTACACACGCCATTTGTCGCTATGTACTAGAATTAGAGCGAGATTACGAGTACAGGAAGGTAGAAGAAGAACAGAGATGGGTTCAGCCGGACGAGGAGTACTGGCAGATTAAACTAGAATTTGGCCTGATTAGTTCATACATTTCTTGTCCTCTCCCTCGGACAGTCATCTATACATATCTCTTGCTACACAACATAAACACTCCACTTTACAGTTTACATGGCTCGTTCCCATTCAGGTCCCGAGATGCGCGTGCTGGTCGTCTTGCGCCGAGTTCCCCGACGAGGCCCAACTCCAGTTGAATGAGGCATCGAATCTTCAGTAGCAGCAGTAGCAGCTTCAGGAACAGCATCAGTGGCACCTTTGGGATTTGGTGGTAGGTCGAGCACAAGCTCGTCAGCAAATCGGCAGGCATCGTTGTCATTTTTATGTATGATTTCAAGCTCGACGTTCTCATCACGTAGGAAGTCCAGGCCACAACAATCAGAAGATGAGGTCTTGTCGAGTTTGCGCGTTCCGCGTTCATTGTCCTCAGAATCATAATCACCTGGGAACTGTCGGTGTGGGCAAGACAAATTAAAAAATGTGAGATCGATGATGAATGAACTATATATGTTTGCATTGGTTCCATATGAGAAGCTAGTAAAAAACCAAGCTACAGTGTAGTACCTTGCAGTGCCGCAAAGTGACCTTCTCAAGATTAGGCGAACCCCAATGAAAGAGCCGCAATACACGGAAGTCATCGCTGAGATCACAGACGCCCAACAGCAAGTTCCTCAGGTTCTGGAATTCCAGGAATTTGGGTTCCTCACCGAGCACCTGGAGAACATTTGAAGGAAGTAGATAGCACTAACGCATTATCAGAGTGACAAATAAAATGGGACACTTGCAGAGAAAACAAAGATGCCAAAGAGCATGCATACGGCATACCGTCGTCCCAACACCTGACAGCTCCAAACTTGTCGCGTTAGACACACTACAAAGAAGCTCGGATTGATCCCCATCAAATCTACTTCGAAGCTTGGATAAACAGTATTTGTTGCAGCGTAAATGAATCGAGGCCCTGTCAAGGGATGGCATCGTCTTGGTTATCGAAATACCCCCACGGAAGCGGTCAGCATCCACATCTAGGCGTAGATAGCCAACCATGGGGGCCGAGATAGCCAGCGGTGGGTTGCGGTATCTATTGGAGCCACCATTGATCACCAAGGTCTTCAATTTGGGGCATGCAATGTCAGTGAAGAATCTGCCCCATGTGCAATGTTTCAGAACCAGGTTCTTGAGGGAGTCGGAGGCGATCGAACGGATCTCACAGGCGCAATGGTCCAGCTCCAGATCCTCCAAAGAGCGGCACACTGAACGAAGATGCTCCGAGAAACGGTCGTCCAGAGGTACGTGGCAGAGATGCAGCCTTCTGAGACGCCATGAGCTGGGGCTCAGATTCAGTCCCGGACGCTGACGACTGATGGCGGCGTGACCTGGTCCTGGCGTGCAGTATTTCATCTAGATGAGAGTACAAAACACTTACGAAAACGTCTGCAAATCATTTGAAAACCCTTGTAAACATATGCAACGTCTAGATGAAACACTTGCAAACATACGTATGAAACACCTAAAAACACTTAAAACATATGCTTGCGACATGGATGTATATGCAACATCTAGATCTACTTTTGCAACATCCAGATAAAACACTTGCAACATTCCTCTGGAACAGATGAAACATTTGGAACATATACTTAAAACATACATGTATAGCTATTACAACATGTGCAGCATCTCAATTTACTTTTGCAATATCCGTATGAAACACTTACATTTGAAACAACTGAAACATTTGAAACATAGGCATGCAACATGTATGAAAACGCCTGAAAACACTTGAAAAACATAGCATTGCCGGCGGCCACAGGTACTTGGTTGGGAACTGCGGTGGCGCAGGCCTCCTCTTCCTGCCAACGACGCGAGGTGGATGAGGGCACAGGCGCAGGCACATGCCTCCCCTGCCTCCCCTTCCGCGAGGGGGCAAGGTGGATGGGGGCGCGGCGCTAGATGGTGGTGCGGCGCAGGCGTGCGGAGCAGCGAGGGAAGGGTCTGGGTGCCTCGCCGGAAGGAGCAGCGTGAGAGGGCCATCCACGCGGGAGAGACGCCGGAGCAGGCGCTTCATGCTGGGGAGGGAGTGGGTTAGAGAGAGCGCCCTGCTGCAGGACCTTGCGGCGGCAGGTCAGCCAGAGGTGCGGTGTGGTAAGAGACTTGGAGCAGCTGAGGAGGACACTGCAGCCCAAGTGGGGAGTGTTTTTTTTTAAGGGGCTGGTCCGCCGACAGTTCAGGAGGGAGGCAGGGCTTTGGGAGCCGTTTGCTTTTATGTTCTGCAGTGTGATTCCTAGATAAGATACAGGAAATAAACCGTTATGAAACCAGGCACTGTAAACCTTTCTTTTTGGTCTCGATTGTTCGACTGCGTCCAAGTCTGTGCTTTTATTGTCTCTCTGGATTGTTTGACCGTTGTTGATATCATGTTGTACAACAGCACCAATGTGGAAGAACAACTGAAATGTGATCCGTAACAGCATAACCTCAGATCAGGTTCACTCATTAGTTCTTTAAAAACATATACTTACCACGATATACTTTGATAATGCATCTATAGATGTATATTGTCACCATGCCGAAGGGAAACCGGTGCCCGCATGTAGCCAAGCAACCTATTCTGACAGACTGGGTTTCAAGCATTGAAACACCAACACCTATTCTGAGAGATAAGAGGAAAAACACTCTTGTAAGAATATGTATTTATTTTATTACAGAGCTCAATAAGGACGACTGTATATGGTTGATGCTCACGAACAGGAGCTAGTAGCAGCCTTTGTATACAAAAAAAAAAAGAAAAAAAAAGAAAAAGGGGCACCTGCGAGTATGAGCATCACGAGCTGGTCAGCAGCCATGGGATCCACGAACCGGGTTTGTCCGGCCTCAACACAGCTTTGGCTGCTTCCGGACGACAGTCAAGCTCCTGATCCAAGTGTTGCTTGAGGCCGTCATTATACGGACTCCTAAGCCAGACTTCCTCTAGAGCTCTCAAACTCTGTAGGCCAGAGAACTGCAGTGATGATACGCCGCAGCAGCGAATCCTCAGCACCTTAAGATAACAGTTGTCGTGAAACGTTATCTTAGCCTGTACCCTGGGGCTGAAAGAAATATCGAGGAGGCCCAAGAAAATCTGTCGTCGTCTACCGAAATGGAGCTCACCATCATGTAACTCTGACAAAAAAAGGCGAATGTTCTGTAGGTGGTCTAGACTGCAAGGGAGGTCATCGATGCCCTCTTGCGGTAACATTGTCATCTGTAGACTCAACTTTCTGAGTTCTTTAAGCTCTTTGGTCCATACTGGAATCTTACGTACGAGCCCATACAACTTAAGGCTCCGTAGCTTCACTGGAAGCGAGGAGATGTCATCTAACCAGCCAGCTTCATCTTCATCGTCATCCTCGTCGAGCTGCAACCCCATCGACAACGATTCCAGATGGGCAAGGCCTGAGATGGCTGAAAAGAACCTGCGGATATTGTTCCGGTTAATGGAGCAAACTCCGAGCTTGTGCAACTGGGTAAGCTTCTTGAGCTCCTCTACAATGGCATCCCCTCCTCCGGTAGCTCCGACATCGACAACACCAAGCGTGTGCAAGTCGAAAAGCTTCCAAATCCCTCGGGGCACCTTCACGCCACTGTGATAATAAGAGCCACAATTGTCATCAAGGCGGTGGTGTCTGCTCGACTTGGACAAGCAGCAGGACTCAAGAGTAGCACATAGCCTCTTCATCTTCACCGGCGCTGCTGATTCTGATTGTGCTTGCAGGTTCTCTGCTGCTTCTGTTGTTTCTGTAGCTTGATAATGATGTCCAGTGACTGTGCCAGCACGAATGTACTGCAGCTTGTCCAGATTGATGATGCTCTTTGGCAGCTTTGTTACAGATGTTTCCCTGATATCCAGAGTCTGTAGCTGCTTCAGGCGATCTCCAATGGAATCCGGCAGATTAGTGACCTGTCTGCACCTTCTCAGGGAGAGGAACTTGAGGCGGGGCAGCAGCTTCACCATCTGCGCAACGTCACCATCTGTTACACCTGACGACGCGTCCTCTAGATCCAGCACACGGAGCAGCTTCATCTTCTCAGAGACAAAGAAAGGTTTCCACTCACCAAACACCGTCAGAGACCGCAGCCGCGAGAAGTCGACGCTCTCAAACACATTCCTGTCTCTATCCCAACTCTTGTCTATGGCAAGGTGCCGTCCAGTGTGTCGCAGGTTCCTGCGGCAATGCCCGTCCAGTGCAAACACAAGATTCTCTTCCATGGACCGTGAGATTATGTACTCACGGAGGAAGCCGTTGGCTTGGCACAAGGGAATCTTCTTGGAGCTGTCCTCTTGTAACGTTGTGCTTGTTGTTCCTGGCACCTGGATCATGCTCAGATCGGTGAGCGTAGAGAAGTACATCTCCCCTCTCTCCTCTGCAGTGTATTCTTTAGTTTCTCTGGAGTATCCCTCGGCGATCCACCGCCTCACCAAACGCCTCCGCCGGATGGCGTGGTTCAGAGGGAAGATTGACAGGTAGAAGATGCAGGGCTTGAGGAAATCTGGGCAGGAATGGAAGTAGGCAAGCAGCCAGGAAAACAGATCCTCTAGTCTTGTGTCGGCCTCCAACAAAGACACAAGGTTATCTTTTCTGAGTATATCCCACAGTAAACTTTTGTAGCGCATAGCTACAGCACATATAACTTTTGGAAGCCCACCAAACTTGTGCAACATATGCAGTTCTTCTTCCTCAGTCCATGTATGTTCGTCATGGCGATGAATCTGAGATACATACATGAGTCCCATTCAACATAAGAATCTGTAAGAAATTAGTTTGGGAAAATTGACACCCCCACCCCCCAATATAGTCACTGAGTTTGGTTTGTATAATAAGTTGTGCATAAATTGGAATCGATGATTACTATTTACATTTACCTATAGGTAGATCTTCCATAATTACTAACTACTAAACATACTGATAATGATGCATAGACAAAAAAAATAACTCAAGCAGTGACAATGACAGTGCAAATAATTGGACTACAAAAGCACATTGAATCGAGCCTGTAAGCTTATCATGTAAGATATACAGTATATAAGTGAAGGGGGTGGGGTGAAATCACTTAAACACTGTGCATATATAACAGTAGTGGAATGCTTCTTAATTAGCTTGTGAGAAAACTGACCTGCTTCAAGAGTTGAAAGGCGTGATCGGCTCCTAGGCCTTTGACATTGTACACTGACTCAATGTCTGTCGCACAGTATTTGGCAACACTTTCTTCGTTGGTGATGACAAAGATCACGTGGCGTGTAGTGGTTTCAAGTCCCAAGGCACCTTTTATCAAGTCCCATTCTTTTCTAGTCTGCAGACCGTCGATAACAATAAAGCAATCATTGACATATAGATACTGGCGGCATTCTTCGATTGGATCTTTCATCGTTGACAACTGGCAGTCTTGCAGAAATCCAGGATTCAGATCCAAAAGAAGTCTCCACGACAAGTCCGTTAAATCGAACGGGCGGGACACATTCACCCAACCGTACGTGAGAAGAGAACCGCGCCTGACACCAAGACTGGTAGTATTTTTCATTTTAGCCTCCTGGCCAATGTAATAGTGTTTGACAAGGAATGATTTGCCAACACCAGACATCCCCCACACAGAGTGCACACCAGTACTTGTCACGCTCATAGACAATCGAGAGCAAAAATCAGCCTGAGGGCCCAAAAGTGCATATTCATCATGTGCGGTATCCGGGCCCATGGTTTGCTGCTCAACTTGTCCAATCATATCCTATGAAAAGAAGTAAAAGAGCAGCGTGTAGTGAGTGGGGTTGGTTTACTGTATAAAAATATACATACTAAACCATACTACTTCCTTAGTTCGTTTTTACTATTCCCTCCATTCCAATTTGTAAGTTGTTTTAGCATTTCTACGTACATAGTTTTTGCTACACATCTAAATATATACTATATCTAGATAGATACATAGTAAAAGTCTAGAAAAGCCAGAACGATTTACAATTTCAAACAGAGGGAGTAGTAGCTACGCATGCAAGGAATTTAAAAAGTACAAACTTACTCCCTCTGTTCCAAATAAATATAATCATTTTTCTAGTTTACCCTAAGTCAAAAACTATCCTATATTTGAGAAGTTTATGGGGGATTTAGGTAATAGCGAATAAAAACCTTTGTCCTGCTTCTAATTACTACCTACAATTAATTTGACCTGAAAAAACTTGTTTGCTACTCCTCCCGTTGATTTTCCTAGCTAGTGATCCTATAATTTAGCTTATTTTAATTTCTCAACCCCTGAACGCATTGAATCCTGTACAAATGAAAAAAATGATGAAAGATACTGTAATTAGTGTAATCATATTGGCATACAAACTAAGTTGTGGGTAATTATTATATTTTATTATGAAGCACAAGCCAGGAGTGCAATAATCAAACATTTGCATTAATACTGTCAGACCATGTTGGTGTCAAAAATAGAAGGGGGGAAAATGTCGAGTATATCTGTCCGTGAATGAAATACTGGAGTAGTTAATATATTGTAATTCGAGTGTACCTCCTTGACGAGGACATAGACAGAATGATGAGCTGAGAGCTTTTCAAGCTCCAATACTCGGTGTGGTTGTCCAACGCACAGGCTTGCAACTTCGAACTGGTGTGTGTTCACGATGATGCAGCTGCCGTTGTTGTTGTCTGGCAGGTAGACCCTTACAGTCTCCCAGTCCTCCATGGTGGACACGCCTTGGAGGACTACTAGGTACTTGTGGTGGCTCACTAGCTTCATGAATTCATCGATGAGCACGCCTTGCGTTGCCACTGTTGTCATCTCCACAACAGAATCTACTACAATAGTGCTGCTGCTTTCTTCATCTCGGGAGATACTATTACCGCTTCTGCAGAATTGGGCCACCAAGCCCCTGATAAAATCCAGGGGATTGAAAGGATGCACCAGCTTCACCCAAGCACGGCATCTGAAGTTGCCGCAGGTTTCTGGATCGTCATAGGCCCTCTTGACAACGGACATCATCCCTACGGTTCCCAACACTGAGATGACTTGAAGGACGCCACCAACACCTTTCTCGTTCCGGCTGATCAAATTGACGAGTTCCACTGGCCAGATCCTCTCCTTCGTGGTTTCCCTCGCTGTGGCAGAGCGAGGGAGGAGTGCGTTGTAGACGGGCTGATGCAGCTTCTGCTCGGCAGACTTATTAGAGCCAGAATTGCCGTCACCGATGCGGCTGTAGCGCAGGTTCCGCTGACCCATGGCTTCCACCCTAGCCTTGAGTAGCTCCATACCAGCAACGGCGTTCTCCAGGGCCACGGCCGGTGCCGCCGCAGGTATCCAGGACGGGAGGATGCGGCGCCACCAGCTCGATTTGTTGTCCAGGTGGAGAATCGAGTCGATGCAGTCCTCCATATCCAGGGCCATGTCGCGAACCTGCTTCACGGCAGTCGTCGCCATATCGTCGTCTGCTACATGCTCCTTTGAGACGTTGAGGAAAGAGTGCATCATCTCAAACTCGTCCGAGATCAGCATCAGATCGCGCTGAACGCTCGTCCGCAGCTTCTTCTCGTCCTCAATAGCCGACTTGGCTAGATTCGCCGTCTCCTTCACCGCCGACTTGGCCAACCCCAGCACGAGGTCCGCCATTGTTTTCCTGCTGTTCCCCTCCGCCGTGGGTGTGTATAAAGGGGACGGATGGGATCATAAAGGGGAGATAGGCTACAAGAAAGCAAATTTGCACAATACTACTAATATAATTAAACTGGACTGATAGGTATGGTCAATGAAATCAATTAATAATATGTACTAACAAAACAATACTATATAGCAGAACACTTCATTTGCCTTAATGTTTGCTGGCCAAGCACTTAATAAATTAGTCAAAGTCCAACAACACGCGCATTGAACCAACTGAACAAATATCTTCTTGGTCTCTATAGGCCAATAATTGATGGCGTTGTCACATGGCCAGCGTTTATCGCAAAAAAAAAGCGATAAATTAGTTTGCAGTTGAACAAAACAATTTATTTAGCTAAGGAAAGTTTGATTAGTACTCTCAGTTTCAAATTCATGTCGTTGTAGTGTAATTCTAAGTAAAACCTGACTTATTTTCAAGGTATTTATAGAAAAATATATTAACATAAATCAAATAAGTGAAATATCAAAATATATTTCATGGTGTATCGCTTGTTTGATGTTGTAGATGTTTATGTATTATTATTTCCATAAACTAACTTAGGTAGAAGCTATACAACGATTTACAATCGCGAGCAAAGGGAATAATATAATTATGAATTATTTCGTCTGTGGCCAGATGTGATTGTGATGGCCAAGTCTGAACCAACATACTCAAAAGCTGACTAGTTGGTGCCAGATATCTGTGAGGAGGTGTTCGTGGTCCAGATGAATTAACTACAGTAATGTAGACTCGACTAACACAAGATATTTCATCCGGAAAGCAACTTGTTGAAATAATTGCAACAACTTTACCCGACGCGTCCAAGAAGAGCGTTTTCCCTCTGTCGGTTTGCAAGCTGAAGAGGGTATTCATCCCATCCTTCCTCAGCCCTGCCGCTGCTGGAGCCCGACGCCGGAAGACTGGCGTGTAGCAAGGATGGTGGCGGCAGAAGCCCCGGCCCACCCGCACGCCAGGCCGCCGCCGCCCAACCCGCTCGCTAGCCAGCCGCCGCTGCTCCTGCACGGGCGACCACCGCCGCGAAGAGCACCGGCTGCGCTTGCTCTGCTGGGGGCTGACGTCCGTTCTCCTTCATTTCAGGCCAGCAGTTCCTCTTCAGGTGGGTAGAGGGCGCCTACTCGGCCATGGCTGGAGCAGCCGGCGGCTGTGGGCACCAGGAACCCTAAGCCATGGAGCTAGAGCTACCACGACGGCTGGCGTGCGGGCGGCGGCGGTGGAGGCCTGGCATGTTGGAATATTTGGGCTAGGCCCATTTATTTCATTTAATCTCAAGGCCCACCATTAATGCTAGGTGGTTAAAGTGATTAATCCCAAATGGGTAGTTAAGGAGGATCTTAACCATTTTAAATTGGTGGACTATCTGCACACTAATTGAGAAGTTGAGAAAGAGAGAGATGGTGCCACACGTGTGCGTGCTCGCTGAGGCGAGGCTGGGTTTGGTCTGGTTTTGCAGTTTTTAATCACGAGTTGGTTTTGCAGTTTTTAATCACGAGTTGATAACTAGTAACGGCTGGGAGGTTACTGATGGCTGGTTAATGGCTGACACCAATGACAGTAACGACTGTAGGTTACTGATGGCTGGTTAATGGCCGACACCAATGACTAGTAACGGCTGGAGGTTACTGGTAACTGATGGCTGGTTAATGGCTATCAATCACCTGTGACAGTGTCCAAGTTCGTTGAATCTCCTTTTGCTTGCTTCTATAAAAAAAAGGTGCTCGTACTCTGATTAACGCGCGCTGGAAAACCACTCACTCTCCTTTACTGCTGCTTGCCCATTTGCTACTTTCGCATCTCCATCCTGTACCTCTACGCGCCATGCGAAGCAGCGGAGAGCGCAGATGCCTCCGGAACCCTCGTCACTTCTGCGAACCTTGCAGGGGTGTGCAATGATTAGGTTTTTGGGGAGCAATTCCTGGCAACCTGCTCGTCTAAGACGTCTTCTTCCTGGTGATCGCTTGCGGAACAACAAGGTGTCTTCTTCCCGGTGACTGTTTGTGGGACTGCACTGCTGAAAGGTCCTAATGGCTAGAGGGGGAGTGAATAGCCTAATAAAAAATTCTACAACAACACTCAACAAAAAGGTTAGACAATTAAGAGGCGAAGCAAGTGTTGCGCTAGCCTACTCAAAAAGCAAGCCACTTACCACAATTCTAGTTTAGATAGTATCAATTCACACAATAGCTATAACACTACCCTATGTTAGTGTGCTCTCAAAAGCTAACTAAAGAGCCACACCAACCAAGCAAGCAAGCTCTCACAACTAACTACACAAAAGAGCTTGATAACTAGTTTGCGGTAATGTAAAGAGAGTGACCAAGAAAGTTATACCACCGTATAGATGAAGGAACCAATCAATCACAAGGATGAATAACAATGAAGACCAATCACCTCGGAATCAATGATGAACACAATAATTTTTTATCGAGGTTCACTTGCTTGCCGACAAACTAGAGCTTTCAACTGTGAACACCTTCCTGCATTGACTGTGGTCCATGACTTCGAGCAACGCACTATGTCTGGTGCGAATGGAGCCTCCGATGCCCTCGGCATGGGACCCTGCGCTGGGTACACTCTAAACTCTCTGATTACCGTACTTTGCGTACTTACTGTATCGATCGATATGTCATACTTGCATGTTGTAGCGTTTGTTAGTGATATACACATGCACATATATGTTGTCATGAACCTGCTGATGTTTTATTTCTGGATTAAATTGACCATAAAAATGCCTAATTATCTAACAATCCAAAAACTGAATCTTAGACAATTTTCTGTCAGTGGTTTTGCTGCTGCTTTGAAGCCGAATAATTTTGATGGCAAAGATTTTATGATATGGCGTGCCAAGATGGTGTTGTGGTTGACTGCTATGAATTGCTTTCACGCCACACAGGGAAAGCCTGAACAATTTACTCCTAAGGAAGAGCAAAAGTTCTTGGCTGCCGATAACCTGTTTCGAGGCGCCGTGATTAGTGCACTTCATCCTAATTATGAGAAAAAACTACATATCTTGCACATCAGGCAAAGAGTTATGGGATGCTCTTGAGGCAAAGTTTGGAGTTTCTGATGCTGGTAGTGAGCTGTACATTATGGAGCAGCTGTATGACTACAAAATGGTTGAAAATTGTTCTATAGTGGAACAGGCTTATGAGATACAGGCGCTAGCAAATGAACTATAACATTTTCCATGTCTGTTAGCCGATAAGTTTGTGGTCGGCGGTATAATCACTAAGCTGCCACCTTCTTGGAGGGATTTTGCTACTTCTCTAAAACACAAGAGACAAGAGTTTAGCGTGGCTGAGCTTATTGGATCTCTTGATGTTGAGGAGAGGGTGAGAGCAAAAGACAACCATGAAAAAGGAGTTGAGTCTTCCGCTGCCAATATGTTGCACAAGAAAAACTCATTTGCATCCCGTAATAAAAAGAAGAAGAACATGCAAGAGAACAATAATACAAAGCCTAAGTAAACTGCACAGTTTAAGAAGAAAAACAACAAGAAAGGTGGAGGTTGCTTTATTTGCGGGAGTGATGAGCATTGGGCATGTGCGTGCCCAGACCGCAAATATAAGTAAGAAAAGAAATTAGCAAACGTGGTGATTAGCGAGACTGGAGGAGGAATATCTGGGTATGATAATTCTTTACCTTTTGTTCTTTCAGTTTGTCTTTCACCTGAGTGGTGGATGGACAGCGGTGCTAATATTTATGTGTGTGCTGATGTTTCTTTGTTTACTTGCTATCGGCGTCATGGGACTAGAGCCTTCTTGATGGGAAATGGTTCGCATGCGCGTGTTCTTGTGTCTTTGACGCAGTCGTTCAAGTCTACTTGGGAAAGACAAAGTGCTATTAAAAACGTCTTGACATGTCCCTCCATCAAGAAGAATCTTGTTAGCGGTTCTCAAATGTGTCGCGATGGCTTTAAAATTGTGCTTGAGTCCAATAAGTGTGTTGTGTCGAGACATGGAACATTTGTTGGAAAATGTTATGATTGCGGAGGCTTGTTCCGCTTATCTTTGCTTGATGATGTGTAATAAAGTAGTAAACAATGTTAATATTTCGGATGAGTCGAATATATGGCATTCACGACTGTGTCACATTAATTTTGGCTGTCTCACGTGGCTTGCAAATCTGAATTTAATCTCGAAATTTAACTTAGTCAAAGATTATAAGTGCCAAGTGTGTGTGCAATCGAAGCAACCGTGCAAGCCTCACAAGGCTGCTGAGGCGAGGAACTTGGCACCATTAGAACTCGTTCATTACGATTTATCTTAAATAAATGACGAATTGACTAAAGGCAGTAAACGATACTTCATGACATTTATAGATGATTGTACTAGATTTTGCTACGTGTATTTATTAAAAACTAAAGATGAAGCGTTGCATTATTTTAAAGTCTATAAAGCTGAGGTAGAAAATCAACTTGACAAGAAAATCAAGCGTTTGCGGTCCGATCATGGGGAGAATATTTCTCAAATGAATTTTCTCGAGTTTTGTGCGGTGTATGGAATTATTTATGAGAGGACGCCACCATACTCACCATAGTCTAATGAGATTGCAGAGAGAAAGAACCACACTCTAACTAATTTGGTTAATACCATGTTAGAGACTGTGGGACTATCTAAGGAATGGTGGGGTGAGGCTAGGCTATATTGACAGCGTGTCATGTCCTGAATAGGGTGCCCACAAAGAACAAAGAAATTACACCATTCAAGCAATGGGAGAAGAAGAGATTAAATCTCTCTTACCTGCGAACTTGGGGTTGTTTGACAAAGGTGAATGTGCCAATAAACAAAAAACAAAAGCTTGGACCAAAGACCGTTGATTGTGTTTTTCTTGGTTATGCTATTCATAGCATGGGTTATAGATTTTTAATTATAAATTCTAGTGTTTCTGAGATGGCTGTTGATAAAATCATGGAATCTAGAGACACTACATGTTTTTAGAATGAATTTCC